ATGTAAACAGATGACGCTAAATTTAGGTTAGTATTCGTAGTATCTAAAATAATTCTAAATAGTATAGTATAAGTTCAATAAAGAAAAAATTGAATTATCTGTAATCAACTTGTGATTTACAATGGGGCTTACAGGCAATATAATGTTTTATAGTATATACTATAAATATATAAACTAAATATCGGAGTAGTCATCAATATATCAAAAATGAATATATTATTTACTATTATATCGTTTGCACTTTCTTTTTTGAATTATATACTATATGGATAAGTTAGAAAACGTAAATCTTATATATAACAACTATTTAACTGGATTTTATTGTTTATTACGCATCATTTCGAATCATTGTAAACTCAGTAACAATATAATAGAACATTTTATAGTTATCTAAAAAACAAAGGAAGTATTTTATTAGGTTAACATTTATTCTTAAATTTTATATTGCATTATTGTATCCTTCTATTTTTGTATGTTTTATTAGTAACATTACTTTTGACAATCACATGTAGTCAAAAAAATTTTTTTTGTTCTGCTCGATTCTTCGCTTCACTCCACATTGTATGAGTAATTTTCACGGAAGAAACGTAGGAAGATATAAAAAAAATCGTGACAACCCCCTTATACATTTTTTGTGTCAGTTATTACCTGTATATACACGTGAAATCATCATATATTCAATATAAATAAATCTAAAATATATATTTGTGTATTTATAGTTGAGTATATATATTACCTACAGCAAAAAAGACAACGAAAATGGTTTGGAAAAATTTTATTCATTATCTTATCAATAAATATCTCAAAAATTATATTGAACGATTGGATTATGAAAAATTAGATCTTAGTTTAAAGAACGGTTCGTATTCTTTCTCGTCATTTATTTTCTATGTTGTTTTGTCACATAGGTCATGTCTTATTGGATAATCTTCGTTTGAAACCCGAAGCATTGGTTAGTTTAATTGACGTCGAAAATATTTTGTTTAATAATTTATTCTTTTAATTCAAAAATTTCTAAGGATAATGATTTGACTATTTTTTATTGAACATAGGCCTATTTCAATATTCCTGCAACAGTAGCAGTTGGTTATATTGGTGAGATTTGTTATTATTACTAGGTTCAATAAATTATGAGAAATAGTATCAATTATAATTTTGTCTGATAAACGAAATCATTATTCTATTTTTTCTTTGATTGCACTTCGGAAAAATTATTGAGAAAAAAAAAGGTATGAGTTTTCATTACTAAATCTTAATTGTAATCACAAAGAACAATGTTCTCAGAATTTTTCAAACAACATAGGAAGTAAACATGATAAATTATATATTTTTACTTATATCTAATAGTAGAATGAAATCATGAAGTAATATATAATACGCGCTAGGATGCTGTCATTTTCACAGTAGTTGACAAAAAATAGTGTAATATTGATTTATAACATAATTAAATAAATACGCTTGTTAACTTTAATTTTCTCATTTATTTTTTTTTTGTAGAGCGACTTCAAGTAACTATTCCATGGATGCATCTTAATACTAAATCAACCGAAGTTCATATAGATGGACTCTATTTGTTGATTGTGCCTAAAAAGGGTAAGTCGCAATTTTTATCTATAAGTAATTGTTTATTATAAATTCATATTTTATGATGTTCTTTTGTTATAGAATTAAGTCAAGATTTAAATGAAATTTATTCCGACAAAATGGCACGAGTACAGCAGAAATTGGAGAATTTAAGAAAATCATCAACAGGTTTACAACTATATTTCATTTTGTCTTCAATATCACAGTTTTATCATAGACAATGCAAATCCTCAAAATAAAGAAACACCATTTGTTGAAAAAATGAGATTACAAGTCATGCAAAATCTTATTATAACTATACAAAATGTTCATATTAGCTATGAAATGAAATCATCAGCTAAATTAGGACATCCATTTTCATTTGGACTTACACTTCATTATCTCGAATTACGAGTATGAACATGTCAACTTATTAAACATTTTTTGCAAACAAATATATCACTTATTTAGACAGAAACCAATGCTCGACTTAGTAGACGAATTCAAGGGAAGACACTTCTGATCTATAAGGTCTACAATATATAACAATGCTTTTATAATATTTAATTTCTATTTCGTTAATTTTACTTTTAGATCAAAGAAATGAAATCATTATCTTTTTACTGGAATACAAAGTGCAAATCAAGACTTGACATGCCATTCAAAGATGTTGTGGTTAGAATTTAATATTTCTTTTAAAAATTAAGATTCATAATTTCTAAGTTTTTGACATTATAATATGAATTTTAAAGACTTTTAGCAAATATGTTACTAGATTGCCATATTTTTTGATTTTCTTCTAGGAAGAACTCAAGTCAAAAATAGCCAAAGATAATTATATACCAAAGGATGCTGATATGAATTACAGTCTGTTTTCTTTTATATTATTTTGTGTGAATTGATTACTGTTCTTTCATTCTTCTAAATTAGTTCTTCGTCCTGTGACTCTCGATATGGAATGTACCATAACATTAAGACCTAAAGAAAGTTATTATGAACGATCACGAGTTTATTGTGATATTCAAGTTGAACAAGTCAGTATTCATGTAAATCCAGAACAAATTTCTGACGTATTAGCATTTATTAAAGTTCAAAAGTACACTACATTTTACGGTATAGAATATAGATCAAATAATCTATTCGAAATATATTTTTACTATTCTGAAAGATCGATGTCGTGAATATCGTCTATTGTTATTACAAGAATCAATTGGTAATGAACCATTAACACAAGAACAAAAAGAACGTATCAATGTAAATCTCGTTTTTTTCTCTATTTAACAAAATACTTATAATATGATTATTTTCTACATTAGTTTCTTGAAAAAAAATTAGATGTTTTTAATATGGCATATATACGTTTTAAAATGGAAGAAGAAGCAAATCTCTTATACCCACCAATGGAAGATAAAAATGGGAATCAAGGACAATCAGAAACATCTCAAATGCCGGGCAGTCCTTCTACTTCAGTTAACAGTCGTCAACGTCGTTGGAAACCACTTTCAAAAGTGAAAAGTGGTTTTAATCATTTCAATAAAAGTATGTACTACGAAATATTCATATAAAGTTCATTAAATATGATTTAATAATTTGAAATACTTGATATAAATCATATTTTGTTATCAGTTATAGATCATGTAAAAACAACAATAGTAACGACAACAGCTGCTCCTTTTCTTCAGAATGATCAAGAATACGTTTATGAAGATGTAAGTTATCTTATATTATTAATTATAAGATAATTATTTTTTCTTGTTTTTTTATTTCAGTTACCGAAAGTCGATGTTGAAGTAACTTTGAGTAAAGCTGATTTGAATATTATATCATCGAATACAAATACTAAGTACTATCATAAATGAATTTATTTTTCATCATTTATCTTTTTCAATTATTATTTGTCTAGATCGAAAACTACGGAACAAAAAGATGAAACAATTATTTATATTTGTGTAACCGATATTTGGACGACTATTAAACGAATGTCTGTTTCACGTAGTATCGAGTATAAGAAAATACATACATTTTTCTAGTTTTTCTTTTATCTTTTCCCTATTGTTATTATAAGATGTATGATTGATCTTCAAACTGTTAACATATATGGGATGAAATCCAATAACGGGCAACGACCAATATTAATAACCGGAGTGACATCATCATTTTCTCCATTTGTACATGTTGAATTTGAATTATTTCCTGCAGACAAAAAATCTGATTATCGTCTATATTTAGTTATCGAACCATTAAAAGTCTTCTATGATGTTGTAAGTTAAAATAAATATAACTATATAAATCATGTTTTACAGGGGAATAAAAAGCCAGACAGATTCTGAAATTTTTCTGTTATTTTATAGCCAACAGTTAATTTTATTGTTCAATGTTTTGGAACAAATCGTTCCTACAATCTACAACCACAGACACAGTTTGTCTATTTATTTATTTCCAAACTAAAATCTACTCATACATTTATTTAGAATAAAACAAAGCTCAAATGCAGTAATGGAACACAATGCATTACTTAAGAAAGTATTCGATATAAACATGAATTTTAAAGGTGTTTCATTACTTTTACCACAATACAATGTTTCTCAACAGTATATAAAATTTTATTTAATTTTCTATGATTTATTGGTTAGTTATAGAAATGTCTCTACAATTCGTATTCAATTTGATGATATGAACTTAAAATCATACTTGGATAAGAATAATGACAATGACATGCACTCTTTATTTCAAGTATATATATATATATATATATATATATCTTTTCTTTCATAAGAATCTGCTTTTATTATAAAGGACAATCTAGAAGAACGACAATTCTATGCTAAATATAAATTCGAATTAAGTAATTTAAGAATTGTTTATATGGATTCAAGTATGTTTATTGAATTTAAAAATAAATAATTCATTCTTTTTTCTATAGATAAAAATCGGTTATATATTCTTCGACGAACACCATTGATTGATATTAACTTTTATAAATGTATCTATTCACATCATGAATATTTAGCAAAGTAAAATATTTTCTTTTGAAATTTTTCAATCATGTTATCTATTTTATTTTCGCATCGATTCAGATGGCGTATTGGTACAAAGATTGCAATGGGTGATCTTCAATTATCAAAGACAACTCTAACAAAATT